GTATATCAGCACAAGCACACAACATGTAAATACGAGATGATTCATGGCTTTATGAAGGGAGGGGATGTGAGAACAGGAGCACAGTAACCGGTCCAGAAGATGTGAGCCTTGAGGGACGAGGGAAGATTTGTGTTTGTGTGTGCTTTGTATGCAGATGTGTTGATGTCTCTGCATGTTTTTGTCTATTCGTGATTACATATAGCCTACATGTTTATTTAGTTGTGTGGGAGGACACATCTAAAATAGTGCAGCTCCAGTTAGTGTTGTGATCTAGCGGTTAGCGCACATGATTTGATGCTAGTTCAAATCTCACTTGTGATATTTTCTGATCCACCTTCACTGTGAACATTGGTTCAATTGGGTTCCCACATCCTTCTGATTCCACTCCGTTAAAAGTCGAATTCAACCAATTTCCCTTTTTCTATAGGAGAGATGTCACATTTCAAGCCTGTTTGTTTCTCATCATAAATGATCAGGATTAAATGTTTAATTTCCATAGCGAATGGCCCCACTGACACCAGCGACATCAAGACTCTATTTCTGGTCATATGACTCACCGCAACATGTTGCACTTAATATGAATTTGATGTAAATGTGTGTCTGCATATGAAGTATATCTGCACAAGCACACAACAGGGAGATACGAGATGATTCATGGCTTTATGAAGGGAGGGGATGTGAGAACAGGAGCACAGTAACCGGTCCAGAAAATGTGAGCCTTGAGGGACGAGGGAAGATTTGTGTTTGTGTGTGCTTTGTATGCAGATGTGTTGATGTCTCTGCATGTTTTTGTCTATTCGTGATTACATATAGCCTACATGTTTATTTAATTGTGTGGGAGGGTGGGAGGACACATCTAAAATAGTGCAGCTCCAGTTAGTGTTGTGATCTAGCGGTTAGCGCACATGATTTGATGCTAGTTCAAATCTCACTTGTGATATTTTAATTACGGGTACTACATTTTTGGAATCTGATTACATAATCCAGATTACATGTAATCCGTTACTACCCAGCTCAGATCATTACTTAGAACCTAATTTTTACT